TTTTGAATTTCTGATTCTTCAAATTGCCTAATTTTCTAGTTTTCAAATTGCAAATTTTTTACGTACCATTTATTGAATAAATAATTCTTATTGCAATATATATTAAATTCTACATATTAACATTTTTTATTTACCTCAACCCTACATGACGCAACTCTGACGCACTAGCCAAAGAGCTTGAAGTCTAAGGGTTACGTAATTAATTTCAGAATAAATCTTACGTAAACCATATATCAAAATGTCTACGACATATCAACCCTTATGTATCACTTGAAACAATTTACAAAATTAAGGTTTAAAATCCTCTCTCCCCGAAAGACTCCATCGTCCAAGATTATCATACGAATGTTCGAAAGAATCTCGAGTAGTCTCGATACAGCGAATCGATCTTCGGCTTCTTTAAATTGATTCGGTGTCACTGTGTCGTTGGCCACGAGGCCAAGTCGAGGGTGGTTCGTGACGAAGGGTAGCGCGAACGGTTCCGAGGGTTGGGTGATCTCCCTGCTGGGCGAATGAAGGTTTAGAAAAAAAGAGAAGCTCGTAAGACGCCGATGGAGTTAAAAAAGCTGACGGAGTTGCTTTCGACGCCTCGAGATCGCGCAGAATGAAGCGAAGCAAGTGCCGCAGCCGCCGAAAGTAAATGGCTGTAAGTGGTTCCGCAATCTCGATGGGCTTTGATCGGGGAGAAAAGCGAAACAATCTTTCGCATCAAGTTTCCTTCGAGGAAATGCACTTTCCGGATTTTCGCGCGTTGCATCGGCCCTTTTTATTCTCCGTCTTTATGGCCGCGATCTTGTTTTCCATCCTTTCAAACCTTTACGGAAGTCGATTCTTCTGTGTTTTAGGATAAAATCGATTACTTTCTAGCTCGATTAAATTACTGTTTTATCTTCTGCGTTTTACTTCTATTTTAGGGGTGGTTTCTTTTTGGGTTGTTTGTTTAATTTTTATTTTTTTTCTGTTGGATATTACGAGCAAAATGTGGGTAGATATTTAAATTAAGTTACTGTTTTATCCTCTGCATTTTACATTTTTTTTTAGTTTATTGGTAGGGGTGGTTTTTTTGTTGGGGTTATTTATTTAATAGAATTAAAATTTTTTTTCAGTTGGATATTACGAGCAAAATGTAGTTAGATGTTTAAATTAATTTACTGTTTTATCTTCTGCATTTTACATCTTTTTTAGTTTAGGGGTGGTTTCTTGGGGTTGTTAATTTAGTAGAATTTTTATTTTTTTTCTGTTGGATATTACGAGCAATGTAGTTAGATATTTCAATTAAATTACTGTTTTATCTTCTGCATTTTACATTTTTTTTTAGTTTATTGACAGGGGTGGTTTCTTGTTAGGGTTGTTTATTTAATAGAATTTTTATTTTTTTTTCAATTGGATATTGCAAGTAATATATGTAGTTAGATATTTACAAAATATCTTCTCTTAAAAATTTGTTTAATTTAGTTCATTCATATAGAAAAGAAATATATGCATACACATATGTGTACACACATGTATGCACATACATATTCATATACATACACATATACACATCTTGTGAGTAACATTACTTATAAAACACCCTACATATTTGATACGTATTTTCTTTTAATAATAACAATTATTATTATCATCTCATACTGACAATTTAAATATACATATGTGTCATGTGCACTAACATAAACAGCCATCTTGAAACCTACATACTCTTCATTTTTTATTTTCATTAAAAGAATGTCTTCGATAACACAACTACATTAAAATATAAAAAAGTGAACATATAATATGAACATTAATACTATTTTTTACTCCAATTTAATAAATAATATCGATATACAAGAACGTGTTACAAGGTGCATTTTGTGACGCGACTTTAAACCGTGTTGATAAAACCCAAAGAATGTGACATGGGGATAAAATGTTAGACAGCAGGTTAAACGAGGGTGAAACGTTATTTTTCACGCTTGCTATATCAACAGCGGGGGTCCAGGTGATTGGCATGTATGCCACGATCCATTAGGAGAAGTGAGCCCCTGATTACCGAATCTTGTAGAGCGTGCATAATCGTGTCTTCGTTACCTCGTAGCAATCGTCGGACCCTCAATTAGTTGCCGTCAGGCGTCATCACCACGGAAAGAGACTGACGTCTAAATTTAGAGACCACGATCGATTCGCTTCCGTTTAACACGCAAATTCTACCACTTCCTATTTATTTCCGTCTTTTTCTTTCTCCCCGTACCGTTCATTACCCTAATCGACAGTTCATTTGTACGCTTAATTAAAGTCACTCTGCAGGGATCTATTTGATGCTTATTTGACATCGCTGGATTTGTGTACTTTTAGGTTAGGTTAATAACATGGAAATTTTTGGGAGATTTTTTATAGAAAATTTTGCTATACTTTTTACTTATCAACTTTATTCATTTGTAAATTCCTCATTATATTCAAATTTTTAAGCTCCTAAATTTATAAACAATCGAATTTGCAAGACTGAAAACTTTACCTAAAAAAATAATTGAAAACTAAAAAATTACACAGCTCTCCAGTAAATAAAATATTTAATTCAAAGAATAATATCCCAGTAAAAAAATACAAAAAGCACCGGAATCAAAGAGGTAGAATAAAGCCGAAGAATGAAAGTGAAACGACCGAGAAACAGGGTTGGAAAATTAGATACGAAAGGAAAAGGCGTGTAATGAAAAGGGAAAGGGTGCGTTAAGGGTGAAGGATAAAAAATAACAGCAACTAAGACGAAGCGGAACGGAGAAAACAAGATAGAACGTTTCTTGAACAGAACGAGGCGAGAGAAGAGGGAAAATGAAAAAAGTGACGATCCCAGGGGGTGAGAGAAGTAGGGGTTGGTAAGAAGGGATGGTCTGCGGTGGTTGTGCTTCAGTTTGACACAGTCAGAGACCCTCGTTGCCTGGCAACCTTTAAGGGTGGATGTCGACATTGGCGTAGGGTGTACTTGCAACGAATTTATGCGCGTGGACCACCCTCGTCCACCCTACACGGTACAGAAAAAAAGGAATAAACCAAGAAACCGGTGTATAATTGGCGACTTCTGCTGGACGGTGATATAATGTATCCCTGCGGATACGTAAGTTAAATCGAATGATCTTAAGGGTTGGGGTGGGTTACATTTATGGAGTTTGAAACTCCACTGCTTTTTTCTTTTAATTTAATTCGTTTATGCTATAGTAGCATTTCCATTTTTAAATTTTTATGTATTAACAGTTTTATGTATTAACATTTTTATGTATTTACATTTTTATGTATTTTATAGAACCTGATGTGTTGTGCATTTTTGTAATATGAAACTTTAAGAGGACTTCAAGGGTTGTTTTATATTTTGCATTTTCTGTGCACACTTCTAATATTATAATATACTGTGTTATTGTAATATATTATTTTATACAAAATCTATTTTATATACATTTACATACATTTATTTTCACTTATTTATTTTTTGTATATCTTCATAAAGATGTCTATTATGCACACACATGTATTTGATACATATTATATGATTTTTATAAATGAATTTCATAAATATTAAATGTTTGTTTAATATTATATTTTAGGTACATTATAAAAGTACATATTGTATATATATTTTTATACATTTATTTTCATTTATTTATTTTTTGTATACCTTCACAAAGATGTCTACTATGCACACACATTTATTTGATACATATTATATGATTTTTAAATGAATTTCATAAATATTAAATGTTTGTTTAATATTATATTTTAGGTACATTATAAAAGTACATATTGTATATATATTTTCGTACATTTATTTTTACTTATTTATTTTTTGTATATCTTCACAAAGATGTCTACTATGCACACACATTTGTTTGATACATATTATATGATTTTTAAATGAATTTCATAAATATTAAATGTTTGTATAATATTATATTTTAGGTACATTATAGAAGAACATATTGTATATATTTTTTTTGTAAATCTAACAAAAAAACGTTTATACTTGCAGCGTCAAACAGTTTTTCATCAGGGCGATTTGTTCGACAAACGCGTACGAGGGGATTATTCGTAACTTGTTGATGCAAACAAAGCGTGCTGGGTGTTTCAGTCCAGCATGGGGTAAATGAGACGATTCGTTTCCCCGATCGATTTAATTAGCTTCGAACCGGTCACAATTTATTTTTATTAGTCCGATCTCACGCTGTTCTATGGTAAATTCTATGGAAAACGGATTACATAACGCGAGATCGATACACGTGTCGAAAGATTCCGTATTTCATGGAGGATATCGGAAATAGAATAACGTACAATCAGTAAGGGTATAAAACACGAATTTGCGGTCACGGGCAAGAACTTTCTGTTGTTTTACGATAATGAACAATTACTTGAATGGATAGCACGGTGACCCATGAACGAGCGCAATCCTCCCTCGCAACTTGTTGCACTTGATTCAGCAGTAAACTAGAAATCACATATCCCCATAAACTTCTTTTATGTTCTTCGTAATACCTTCGTAATAGAAATCGGTCGGCTCTTCGTATCTCGAGCTACTTGAGAAATAAACCGAAAAAATATATCAAAATTATCGAAGAGATTTCTTTGATACAAATATTTTAATGTGCAAAATTAATCTGCCATTCTTTAAACCCTCTTTTAAATAACATTTTTAATTCTCAGGGTACTCTTAAATTTACCTTAATCTTTTAAGGGATGCTTTTAATTAAGAACTGTTTCTTCACGAAGAAGGGTAGAAGTAATGCCTTTATTTAATAGGTAAATTCCTATTATTTACGTGTTATCCATAATGTAGATAACTTGACGTCTTTTTGATCCACAAATAAAAATATGAAATATATAAAAATTATATTTGTGATATATACTAGTATGATTATGCAAACTGAATCAATAAATGTATATAACCTATTTTATTTAAAAAATACATAGAGTGAAATGGCAACTGATTTTTGAATAAAAAATAGTGAGTATTAATGAGCGATGTTTTTCCGTTTCAGTCGAGTGATTCCGGTGGTTTTCGTGCACGTAGAAGATCACCCCAGGCAGTCGCAATGGCCACCCTATCCTTGCGTATCTCCATCCCGGAGAAAAACGCCACGAAGATGATGCAATTCGACCCAAGCACATCCGTTTACGACGCTTGCCGTATTATCAGAGAGAAACTCGCTGAAGCGGGTAACATGGGCCAACGTAAGCTCCTACTTGCAGCTAAAATATCCACCAACGTTATAGTAACGAACCCAAGAATTTGCATTTCTTTTTTCTTCTTCGGCATATATTACGCGGAAATTTATATGCTAACCAGTGGGAAATTAAGTTTGCTCTTCCATAAGCATTTGAAATATTTAACGATGTTAAAAAATTAGCAAATATGTAGATAACTTGAAGGATATATTTTTGGGTTCACAGAGATTGATCCTTAAATCTCAAATAACCTCAACGCCACTTTTAATTTTATTCGAAATGCATTTTTGAAATATAAGAATATGAAGTGCAGTATGTTAAAGATAATTTTGTTGAATGTCGCAGCCAAGGACTACGGGTTATTCCTTGCCGACGAGGACGTGAAGAAGGGCGTGTGGTTGGAGCCAGGCCGGAACCTCGATTATTACATCCTGAGGAACGGCGATCTGCTCGAGTACAGACGTAAACTGCGGACCTTACGAGTGCGCATGTTGGATGGAACGCTGAAGACGTTGCTAGTGGATGACAGCCAACCAGTCGCCAATCTCATGGTAGTAATTTGTACGAAGATAGGTATCACGAACCACGACGAGTACTCGTTGGTACGCGAGTTGGCCGACGAGGAGACCGAGAATCAAAAGCCGGGCAATTTTGGAACTCTCACCCTGAAGAGGAGGAAAGAGGAGAAGGGCGAGCGAGACGCCAAGATGGATCAGTTGAGGAAGAAACTCAAGACTGACGATGAAGGCGAGTATCGGTCGGAATTATTACCGTGAAACGGCTTCGTTGTATTATTTGAATCATATTCGTGGACCTGGCGATGGGAACGCAGGAGATGGGGTGTGAAGAGGATGGTGTGATTGGAAGAGCTAAATTTTTAATATCTGTATTGCGGAGTCTCTACGTTTACGAATCTCTACATTTCCAAATCCCCACATTCCCAAATCCCCACGTCCCCAAATCCCCACATTTCCAAATTCCCACATATCCAAAT